AAACTCCCGAGCATTCAAGTCTGTCAGTCTTCTCGTGTTGCGTCGGCAAACTGGTGAAAAGTGTTTTATTCTCCTTTCTTATCACCCTGATGTTCCATTTCCTTAGTAACGGTCGCACTTGTTGGTTCAGTTGTGATGATGGCAGGCAAATCCACTTTTGTTTGTCATCCTGATTCCTCATCTGATTTTCATAAAATCCAAGTTAAAATCGGCCCTTCATAATCTCCACATTTTTTTCTATAAATGCTCTGGGGTATCCGTTACTAAGGCAAATTCGTGTCAGTTTGGCCAACTCCTCGTCCCTGAACTCATTATAATATTATCCCATAGCTAAGCAATTTCTTGTCATGCCGCTTATTTATCAGATCCCTAACCCTCTGTGACTTCTGGTCCCTCATGCTCTGGAGTTTTTGAAAATCATCCAAAGTGACAACCATACCTTAATCTAGACTTGAGATCTATGAACTTAAATAGCTTACGCTTCTCAGTCTCGCAACTTTCCTCTACTTTCTGGATGGAGGTGTGATAAAGTATTTCATTAACTGTGTCCGAATGACACTTCCTCATTAGATTGCAGAAACGGAGAACGATACCATAATGTTTACAACAATTCAAAAAGGCCAAATGGCAGAATTCACTTACAATTGTCTTCTTTGTCCGGCTGTAATTAGTGCATTGTTTGGCAGTCTTACTTCCATAATTTGATCAAGGTATGAAGACCAAGATGGTATGGCCTTTTGTCTGGTCGCAGTCTCCTTTCGTTGTGTAGAAGTTGCTTGACCTTGTTTTCGCAACTTGGTCGTATTGGTAGGAAGACTTAGAGGAACACACCTAGTCCGGAGTCCATTGTATGCATAATCATTTCCATAGTAGGACCATGGACGTGGTACATTTAACATTGAACCTAATCAAAGCCAGCAGTACTACAACATTTGTGGGTCGGCACACAAGCAACTAGGGCATGGCAAGTCATAGACTTGGTATTAGGAATAAACACAGGATAGACGAGACGGCGATTGGAGCTAGTTGGCTGACAGGTTTTACAAGAAACGTGGTCCATGTAGCAAAGGCATGACCATGACACTTACTCTGAGGCTTTCGCCTCTAATTAACCCCCAGATGCAAGGGATGGACGAATTACGTCTAGAATAGCACAGAGGGGGGGTAGGGGTCGAATGTAATACATGTTCAAGGGAGATAGCAGACGGATTCGACAGGGCAAGAGGGAGACTTTGATAGAACCCAAGGAAGGACTACGTCTCAACTCTGGTCAACATTCCCAGCACAAGGCTGAAGTGGGTGATAACGACAGTGTGGAGTGTGATAAGGTTTTAATGAATGCCTCTCGAAGGAGCACACCACACTACATTAAAAATAAGCACGGTAAAAAATTGTGACAGGTAAGGCATGATAGGACGATATAGGAAATGTGAATAGCCCAGGGTAGAAGGGGATATACCACAACTGTTTAGCACACGTTTGCTCAAAGGATGGGCTTCACTTGTCTCTGACGAGTTTTAATATGGTGCTACAAATGGCGAGACTCACTGACGATTCCGGCGAAACGTCTGGAAATCTACCACGTCTACGGTCCTACTCTGGAAATGATTATGAATACAATGGACTCCGGACTAGGTGCGTTCCTCTAAGCCTTCCTACCAAAACGACCAAGTTACGAAAACAAGATCAAACAACTTCTATACAACGAAAGAGACTACGACCACACAAGAGGTAGCATAATCTTGATATTCATAGCTTAGATTTATTATATATATTTATGAGTCTTATACTGAGTTAAACATTTATTAAGTTTAATACTTTCATTGATTAGCTGGTCCCAAGGCTTGCCTTAAACTTATATTTTCGCATCGATATCAATATTTATCCGCCACTTCCATCTCTATATCAATATTTACTTCTCCATCCTTTTATCGATATATTTTCACTTTTCCTATAAAAGATGGTCGTGTTGTCAGGGCTACTTAGTTGGATTAACTTTGTCCGATGTCATATGCATTAGTAGTTTTCTTAATTCCCAGCATAGGACCGTGGACGCTTATGAATGGAAACCCCAACTCATATTCTTCTGCAGTTCTGATACTTTTCATAGAAGAGGTACTAGTCCCCTAGCCTTTTCCATTTAAATACTGTCTTGTGCTTGAAGCCTAGCACATGCTCTACTCAAGTTATCCCAACAGAAGGACGCTTGATGATTCACCTAGTTCAATTTGACTATAGATTCCCTGGATTCTAAATCTTATTTAGTCAAATAAAGTACTATTTGTTTGGCATCCTTGGACATTTGATACCATTTTACACTTGTTGTGAAATGGACTTCTTACTTTGACCTATCTACCCTAGCCTACATATTGAATTGGTGCGATAAGCCCATAATTATAGATGTCAGAATTGGTTCAATACTGCAATATACTTAATTGCAGTAAGGGTTGAGCTCATTTTTATTTACGCGTCAAGTGATGAAGAGATTCAAAGATGAATCCCAACAGAAGATGATGGAAAATTCCTCTTGGATTTCCTTGAACAATTTTGCTGATTCCTTGAGAGATTCTCATTCAATTCGTGTGAAAACTGCCAACCCTTAATCTTTTATATGACAGACATCAGAGAAAAGCATCATTTTACAACTAATCCAAGCTAATATGTCAAGAAAAAATCGCCAACTTATCACCACGTGTTTTATACATACTA